AGCCCAGTATTATCTATGGGGGTGGCAGCGTATGGCCTCTCCCATGTGGCATGCAGAGGGTAGATAGGTGAGGTCCCCAATATGAGAACCCCTACCCTTTCTTATCTAGAGACAGAATCCCCTCCAGTAAATTATATATGAGCCATTTTTGCTGACCTCAAAACATTTTACAACATTGGTCGACTCATATGAAGCATGTGACCAATTTTTGTTTTGCTTTTGACTTAAATATTTTATCAAATGTCATAGGACATTATATTATAGTAAGATGGCTTATACGTATTTACATGTTATAACAGTCCCCTCAGTATATACTTTAAATATATTTAGTTTTTCTACTTGCTTCAGCTTTTGTTTAGGCTTTGGCTCTACTTTGATTTGTTTTATCTTGCATGGCTGTCAGCTTTGCTATGCTTTTTGTCAACTTTTCTGTGCTTTTTTGTTAGCTTTGCTGTGCTTTTGTCGGATTTACTAATGCTCTTTTATACTTTGTCAGTTTTACTAAATGCGTTTTCAGTTTTGCTATGCTCTTTTGTCAGCTTAATTTTGCTCTTTTGTAAGCTCTGCTCTGCTTTTTATTATCAGTCTTGCTTTGCTCTTTTGTCAGATTTGCTGAGCCTTTTCAGATCTGCCGTGCTCTTTTGTAAGTTTTGCTTTCCTCTTTTATTAGCTTAGCTGTACTCTTTTGCCATCTTTGCTGTGCCTTCATCTGTTCATCTGTGATTCTTATATCGGGAAAAGAGGAGATAAAGATACACATCGATGATCTAGTTCCATTGATTTTGTCACATTTTTTCTGATATTCCGACTGTGGAGGGATTGGTCATTGTATCACATCTTGGGTCGATCACTCCATTTGTTTGTTTACCTGTCTCTAATTCTTTACAGTTTGTTCATGTATATTCATAACTGTGGTCTAGTCTTCATTGTAAGGACAACATAAATTAGTGAACATGTATTCTGAGGAACAACATGTATATTTGCATAGTTTTCAGGCTTAAAACACATAATGTTAGAATCCAGGAAATAAATACAGATTATTAGGGTATATTGTCTAGGCCCGACTTTGGAGGGATTGGTCATTGTAAAAGATCTTAAATAAGTTACGTAGGACAGACTGGATTAGGACAAAAAACTGAGATAGGAGTCACTCGAATATAACATTAATCATATTGGCGAAGATAATGCTATTAACAGTTTTAAAGCTTCTATAGAAGCTAAGCACTTAACTTATCAGTGTTCTCCCCCAAAAAAATTTTCAACTGGGTGCAAGATTTCAAGTCTGAAAAAATCAGCACTCGCTACGCTCACAATATCTCAGTGTAGGTGCTTCACTCATTTTTCAAATCAGAAGTTGAAGTGCAGATTCCAACTGGGTGCCAACTGGGGGGCCTTTGGTTTCAAGTAGGGGGTGCCCCCGGTAAAAGTGACATGGGGAGATCACTGCTTATTCATTTAAAATTGCATGTGGAAAAATTAACACTGAGCATTCATTTTGACTAAATTTAAAAAAATGTTATGTTTTTATTTACCATATAGTCATGAGTTTTGACATGGTTTTAAATTATTATTACTTTTTACCAATGAGCCTTTACTGTTATATATCAGGCCTTAATTTTGTTACCTGATAATTTGTGAAACTCACTTCGAAAATGCAAGTGTAGTCAGGATTCCAAGTGATATTTCAAAATGGATGCTCTCCATTGCTCAGTAATCTGTGTTCTCACATTTGACTGCTTTCAAAATGCTTTAAAACACAAATACAGATTTTCATTTTTAGTTCATCCCACATCATTTTTTGGAGAGATTGTCACACTTCATAAACTATGCTTTAGCATGTCAATTCATATGTACAACATTATGAGTTGTACTTTGTGGTTATATATGTTGTCTATTGCTGCATGCATATATTGCCTTGTTATATTATATGTTGCATTGGTGCATACGTTGTCTTCTATATGTTGCCTGTTGCTATGGTTGTCGTAATTGTTTGCCTATAGGAATGTGTCATGGTAAACCCACCACAGTAATAGCTGGGAGAGCTTTTGTTTTCCCTTGTTGCCAGCAAGTTAATAGGTGAGATGTGTATCCATGGTTATGGTCAGGATTTATAAACAGCAAAATGGTGTATTTGGTGTTTCTGTACATACATATATGAACAATGCAAATGTCATCATTGTAGTCCATTCTCACAATCTGAAAACCTGATAGAAATTTTTATATAATATTATAATATTGGGGCAGTAGAAAATAGGGTGTCAACCTAAAGGTCTAATACGCACCCTGTCATCATTTTCATCGATCTTAACAGGGTTCTCTTCCTTGCCATTATGAGTTGGACTACCATCAGAGGGGGAGAAACCCCAGGGTTCAAAGATGACATACGCTTATAATGTAAATCTGTATTGAGATGACATCGTCGCTGATTGGTTTAGCGAGGCGATCGTTGATTGGTTTAAAACCAGGTCAATTTGAAAACTTTGAAAACCAAGATGGAGGGTAAGTACTTCCGGGAAAGGAGGTGCGCGAAGGAGGAAATCGTACATCATCAATTGAATCATGGGGTTTTCCCTCTTACTACCATGGTGCTCATATGATTGTTTTGTTTTATGTACACAAACACCATCTTCTGAAAAAATACTTCAACTAAAAAATGAGTGGTGTGTACACTACATTTAGAATCAGTACTTAAACCCATAACATAGAGAAATGTTGTGGATTTACTAACACATTCACTTCTAGATTTTCATTTCTTCCAGCTTAATATATAGATCTGCATGAATTGAGTGGTCTTGCGTTAATATTCTTTCGTAGATGTATAGATATGTTGTATATACTGTAGTTATTACTATTGTGAATATATTTGTACGTAGGAATGTGCCATTCAACTCCGACAACAATTATTGCGGGCAGGGCTTTTATCTGGGGTTGTTGTCAACGGGTAGATAGGTGAGGTACCAACACAAGAATAAAACTCAACACCCTTCTCTCTCTCATCTTCTTGAGTCAATTTTTATAAACATCGTAAAATTCTTGATTCATTTGTCTTATTTGTCTAGTACTATTTATCATCAATTGGAAGAACAGTTGTAAAACATGTATCAATAACTTTATGATGTTTCTGACATTGATCCTTGATATTCATGTAAAATAGCACGTGGGAATCAAACATTTAAGCTATCCTCCCTTTCACATCCTATAGCTGTAAAGTATCAGAAACCACCCCTTTCCCCTACACGTAACAAATCCATCAGATAGCTGAGCTGGACATCAGCTTTAATCCAGCACCTTTTTCTACATAGAGGGAACGTAGAGTTCGCATAATCATTCATACTTTCTACTGTTTCATCTTTATGGGATCTAATTGCATTTCACACAGTTAAAATAAATATTTCTGACTAAAAGATTCACTGATTGCATTCTTATACTCCTGACATCGCCTTTATCTCACAAATGACATTCTCTGAAAAAATTGCCATTTTATATCATGGTGAGATTATTGCTCCAATTTATGGCATTTTGAACTGTGCAGTTGGCATATTTTATATCTTTGGCTTCATCTTAGGTTGTGGGAATGCTAAACCCAACTTGGTTCATGGAGGGACAACTTTTGTTTGGCCTTTTTGTCAACAAATTGATCGGTAATTCTTGAATATGTTCAGTTTTATTAGTATAATCCAATCAGTTGAATTGTTTATTATGCAGTTTTTTATGTTAAGAATTGTAGAACAGTTAATATCTGTTCAATTGTTAAATTTTTAATTTGAAGGTAACTCAAGAAAGATAACAATTAGTTTTGTTTGAAAAAGTTCACTTTTATAAGACTTTAAACTTGAAATACATGCAAAGAATTCATTGTGTTTTTAGCAAAAGGGCAATTTTTTGCCATCTGATCTGTCAAATGTTGAGTCATATCTCAGTCATAATACAGAATTCATCAAATCTATTGATAGTTTGCAGCATTGCAGTTAGCGTTATAATTATCCAGACCTTTACATACAACTCTTGGATCTGGATCAATAATAGAGCTATCTGCCACTAAAATTAACCTAACATTATAACATTATTGGGGTTCTGCTTAAGATGGATGTTGTTGATTAAATACAAGTATTCCATTTGTAGTAAGGCATAGGTTCAGAGGAAATATCAGGGTTTTCAATATGTCAGATTCTCCCATCTGTTTTCATCCATGTTAATCTTTATATGCATTATAATAACATTTCTCTGCATGCATAATTGCCTTATATTACAGTACTAGTCTACCTATTAATATAACATGCATACTTTTCTGCATATATTCCTGAGGATATCCTCACGTTTAATATAATCCCTGCTACTTTCCTTTTCTATTGGTGTTCTTTGCGTCTTTTAGTAAGTTCAAGCAAACCTTTTCTCCCCTTTTAATTAAAGTACATTTTATATTAATAATTAAGGTAAAAAGTATAGCTTGAAGATTCATGTATATGTACTGTGAAACATTTGAAATCAAGCAGTATAAGGTTTGTGCATAGATTTACTTACGTTTGGTTCTAATCTAAATTGTATTTATGGTAACCTACCCAAATAATTAGGTAAGTTGTGAAAATTGGTTTGTTTCAGAATTAATTTTTGGTATTCATAGAATTTTATCAAAATAATTTTTATTGGAAAGTAAAATGATTGCTTAAGGTTTATTTTAATAAAACTATTTGTCTTGTAATTTTCAATAGATTGCCTAATCTGTTTTATATGTTGTTTTTATATTTACATATGTAATTTGAAATTATTTTATATTGAAATCATTTTATATGCTTTTGTGAAAATAATATAATTTTCTTAATTAAATCTATTGTATACCAAAGTTAACCCAAAGTTAACCATATATAATATCCTATTTGTAAGATAATTGGAATAAAAAGAATAAATATCACTAAATGTATACAGTTTTTAAGACATAACAGCACATACTATACAAAATATATGATCAGCATTCCATTTCATATTGTGGTTGTATTTTTAAGGATCTCGCTGAACACAATGACATTGACCATTGAGAGCCCCCAGGTCTACACACAGATGGGTGTGGCTATTTCTGTCACAGGTATTGCACAGGTAAGTTATTGTTGTGCATTCTGTAACCTGTATGTATTCCCCCATTGGGGGGGGGGTGTGCTCTAGGGTCTCAATGAAGGCCTTCATCACTATGAATTAGTTGAACATAACTTGACCAAGAGATGAAGTCTTGTTTTTGCTGATAAAATATAACAATGGTGGAATTTATGTGGGTTCCTCAGAGTTAATGTTGATATCAATAGATGGGACTGAAGTCGCATACTTTCTGAACTTTTTTTGATAAGAGTGAAAAAAAGCTGTTACTTTACTTCCAAAACAATGACAATATTTAATAATATTTGATAATATTTTTAAAAAAGTCTTACCATTTATTTGCTGTATTGTAGCATAATACACATAGTTTTTTTTTATTTAGGTATATTTATTCAACATACACTGTGTTCTCCCTGACTGAAAAATGCGTGGCGCTCGCGCCACGCACATTGTGGCTGCGCCACGCTGATTTATTGCGCGCCACACATTTATTAACAGCGCCACGCATTAGACTTTGACAGAAAAATTTCCCAAAGTGAAAATAGAAATTGAAAAAAATCAAAGTTTTAATCACATCAAAATCTCAGCCCGTTTTGCTTGAAAACGATACAAAATGCTCTATGTAGATAAAGAAATGTCTGTACTTACCTTTCTTGCACTAAAGAATCTTCAATTTACCTTCTATTTTGATAAAAAACAGTTTGATTTGCACAGAAATGAAACATGTTTTTTCTCAAAGGACTTACAGCCTCCGATTTTGAAGAGTACACTGAACGAAAATGAACATGTGTGCACATTTTCCCGGGAATTTCGGACACAATAATTATAGTTGAATTATATTGAAGAAATATGTGGCCACATACTGAAAATTATTTTGTATATTGAACTTTATATTACAGGGTGGGCCAAAAAAATTTGCAACCTTTTTAGAAGGCAAAAAAAGTATTATAACATTATGGTATTGACATGAAATTTTTTTTACAGAAACTTAAGGATAGGCATATTTTACCATTTAAATACTTAAGCTAATACTGACATCAAATTTTTTTGTCAGATGTTTGAATATTAATGGTAAATTGTTCATTTGTCCGAGATTTACCATTTTCCGAGAAAATCGGACTTTCTATGATTTTATGTGATCAACAATAACACATTCATTATGTTTACTAAATCTGCTACAATCTTTGATAACTGTTTAACAAATGTCTAGTACAGGTTTATATCAGGATCTAGTCACTATGGTAATATTGTTACACTGTATTAATTTTTTATTAAACAAATGTTCTATGCATCCGCCTTTCACCTTAACAATCACACGGAGACGAGAACTGAACTGGTCAATGGCGAGATCCAGCAGTTCTTGTGGTAGTCGTCTCCACTTATCCTGCAGAACTTCTTATAGTTGATCAATAATTTGTGGGGTATAACCATTAACTACAATACATTGCTCCAGGTGCCCCCATGTGTGATAGTCCCAGGGGTTGGTATCTGGTGTATTGGGTGGCCATTCGACTCAGGATTAATCTTCTTCTAAAGGGACATCTTTCAAGAATGGGGGCTCTTTCAGCCCCAAGTGATTACATATTCCAGCAGGATAGCGCTCCTGACCATAGGCCAAAAGTCACTATGGAATATCTGGAGCAAAATACCCCTTGATTCATTAGTCCTGATGAATAGCCGCCTAATACACCATTTAACAAAGATTGCAGCAGATTTAGTGAACATAACAAATGTTCTATCGATGATCACATAAAATGATAGAAAATCACATTTTCTAGGAAAATCGGTAAATCTCTGACACATGAACAATTTACCATTAATATTCAAACATCTGACAAAAAAATTTGATGTCAGTATTAGCTTAAGTATTTAAATGGTAAAATATGCCTATCCTTAAGTTTCTGTAAAAAAAATTTCATGTCAATACCATAATGTTATAATACTTTTTTTGCCTTCTAAAAAGGTTGCAAAATTTTTTGGCCCACCCTGTATATTATGGAAATAAATATTAAATTGAACATTGAATTAAAACAAACCTCTGAGCATTTATATTGCAACATGGCCTATTGTCATTAAAGTAGATGATTATACAGTGCTAAATTTCATTTGTTTTGATGTTATGTAATTACATAACATAAAAGCAAATGTTTAGCATATTTATAACAATGGCCTTCAGGACTGTCAATAGATGGCGAAAAATTCAGTAGGTTTAATAGCATACTTTAACATGTAAAAAATGTTCCAAAAATCTCCCAAGATAAATTTTATTGGAAATATCCGAAACTTCTAATTTTGAATCTTAAAACATGTTTGTAAATAATGATGAAGGAAAATATGATATTTATTTGATATATGTAGAGAATTTGAAGTTTCAAAACAGCAATATTTACACATAAACAAATGGGCCAGTTGTGGAGAACAACCTAGTAGTTAAGTGCCATCTATACGAGTCCTGGCTCCCATTGGCTGTTGATGCAAATGATTGTGATTAAGTAACGCCGCAAAGCGGCGCCGATTTTTTTTAAGCACGTTTTTGTAAACTTATCACCACCCTAATAATTTTGCCGCCACCCATCAATTTTTATTCAAACTTTTTCACCACTCACTTTTGAAAAATTAGGGAGAACACTGATACACATGCATGATTCTGTTAATTTTAGGTGAAAGTTCAAGGTCAGAACAAAGAAATGTTGGAACATGCATGTCAGCAGTTCTTGGGCAAATCCGAGCAGGAGATTCGTAAAATTGCCCATGAGACACTTGAGGGACACCAGCGTGCAATCATGGGAAACATGACTGTTGAGGTTGGTATCTTTTGCTAACTTTTGGCTTCTATGGTTAGCCGATAAAATAGTTTGCCTATCCATCCTTTTATTCCTGAGCTCTTCAAGATGAATACTTTCTCATAAAAAACACTTTATACTCAATGTTGAGACTTCAATCATTGAAAGTTAGTTCCAATGTGAAATTTTCTGTTTTATCTAAAGTTTAAGATTAGTTTTTCACAGTTGACTTTGTTCTCATTTGTTGTACATTTTCTTTTGTGCGGTGTCATTGTTAAAGCATGTTGGAAATCAGTAATGCATTTGATTGCAAATGTTCAATTTTCATAAAAGCAAACAATTCTTCTCAAATGATGATATATTTTTTAGGAAATTTACAAAGACCGTAAGAAGTTCTCCAAGGCTGTGTTTGAAGTTGCATCATCAGATCTGATTAACATGGGAATCAGCGTGGTGAGCTACACCATCAAGGACATCAGAGATGAAGAGGGCTACCTGAAGGCTTTGGGTATGGGAAGAACTGCCCAGGTGAAGCGAGATGCCAGGATTGGTGAGGCTGAGGCTAGACGAGATGCTGGTATTAAGGTAAAGATGTCTTGAGTGGTTTAGAAAATAGTAATAGACAGTAATACTTGTCATTTCACTATACAAGCCAGAAAAATCGTAAGGGTTTTGTCAAGCTTGTAACAGAAATGCCTAATAAATAACCTCAAAGCTGAGTCTTTTTCCTATTTGTATGCAGCCCTGTATTTTTACTATTTGCACTTCATTTTGGGCAAGTGTGCTTATATGCTCCCCTGGCCTTTGTAGGTTTGTATTTCATGCTGATCTTAAGATTTAAGTATCTACACAGCATGATATATTATCGATATATTTGAAAATTAAACTTTCTAAAATCAGATCATTCAAGATCAAATTGTTAAGTCTTAATTCCATCCTCTAGGAAGCTATTGCTGAGGAACAGCGTATGGCAGCCAGGTATGCTAATGATATTGACATTGCCAAGGCCCAGAGGGACTTTGAGCTGAAGAAGGCCCATTATGACATGGAGGTGCAAACTAAAAAGGCAGAGTCGGACCTGGCTTATTCTCTGCAGGTAATGAAGAAATTAGATTTTCTTGGTATTGTATGTACATAAAGGTTACTCATTAGGTGAAATTGTATATGGGTTTCATTATGAAGGACATGATATCTGACTGAGAAAAGCTCATATCATCCGAAAGGGTAAAACTCATTCATAGTTATAAAAAAAATGTATCCCTTGGTATCAAAATATTAGGTTTATGTGAAAAAGTAAGAATTGTGTTTGACAAGGATATTAAATGGAATTATCAATTTTGAATTAATGTCAGGGGTAAATGAGGGAGTAATTCATGATTTGATTTAATGTGTACATAAGCATTATTTCAACCAACTACATCTGAATATTTTAGGCAGCTAAAACGAAACAGAAGATTAAGGAGGAACACATGCAAATCAAGGTTATTGAGAGGTCGCAGCAAATTCAGGTTCAGGAACAAGAAATCGTAAGACGTGAGAGAGAATTGAATGCCCAGGTGAAGAAACCTGCTGAAGCTGAGAAATACAAACTTGAGAAACTTGCAGAGGCAAACAGGTAATTTAGTTTGGAAATTGTGCCCCCCCCCCTTGTGGTCCTTCAGCGTGTATAAATATACTTGTATAAAGAAATTGCTTTCATTGAGGTGATTATATTAAACAACATGATGGGATCATTGTTATTACCGGCCATATTCGCCGTAAAAAGCGCCCAGGGCGCTTTTGAAATTGAAATTCCCATTGTAACCCATTACAAAGGGCGCCCATATATGAGAGAAGTCAAAAATCCCCGGGAATTTCATGTATGGGAATTTTTCTTGCCAAAAATGCCTTATTTGCAACGAAAGTGACAGCATACTTTTACAATAATGATATGTATCGTCATTGGAGAGAGTACAGTGAAGAGCGCTTAAATAAAGCAAGAATCTAATGTTTATTGACAGTGATTGAAGAACTCCCCAGCAGAGCCCCTCGAGGTGAAGGAATTGTTTTCCACAATTATTTTCAATATTTCCGTTATAGACTGTTAGATATCGATCTTAAGTTATACCTCATTTTTTTGATTTGATGACAGATCATCATTTTTCATGTAAAAGTCATGTAAAAGTCGAGAAATCAAGAAAGTTCACCTTGACAATCGCTAGTTAGTAAAATGTCCAAACAAAACTCTGAAACGTGATCTTTTCCTTCATTCATTATGGACTATTTTGAGATAATATTAGCTAAGTATGATGTGGTAGGCACCCACGATAGATATTTATCGGGAGGATGCATCGAATTACAAAATATGTCATGTTTTCTGCATTTTAGTGTAAGCACTCTATTATCGCCCACTATATTTCTTTGGAAATTTGATTTTTTCTGATACATTTGTTAATACTTGGTCATTCCTCGATATTTCTTGATCTCTGTGAAGCAGGGTGGGCGCTTATTAGGGGTGGGCCCTTATTACGGCAATTACGGTACTTAGTCTAGTGATCTCAATCCATGGTGCTTTTAAGATTTCAGTTCTGTTTATATAACGGAGCAAAATATTGCATCAGATTATACTACCTTTGCAGCGGCTCTATGCTCTTAATATTTCTAACCAGTACATCAGGAAGAAAGTGGGAGTAGAAGAGTGGTTGAGAGTGAGGGGGGCTTGGGGTGGAACAGGGATAAGGGTGGAACAGGGAAAATGGTGAATAAAAGTGATGGGGGCAGAGAGAATTGCTGCAAAATATCACAATGTTTCTAGATTCTCTGAAAATATTTTGTTTTTATTATGTATATTTTGAGATGGATCTTGCCATGGCGTGAGAAATCATTCTATATATATATATCAATTTTACATTACATGAGCTATATATGAGTTATATGAGCCACTCTATAACATTAGCTATATGTTACAGAAATAAGGTTATATATGAAGCAGAAGCTGAAGCACAAGCTATGCAAGTAAGCCAAGCTGATCACCTAGGAAACATTGCTGCCTTATTGCATGATTTCATACCTCCATCAAACATTCATTCATGTTACAAGCAAATGGTCTTCAAAAATCAGATTTTCCTTTAGGATTTATTGGTACAACTTGTGGATTTTTGCAATCAAAATATGGTCCATTTGAAACTGTCATTCAATTGACAAGGACAATTTTTTTTAAACAATTCTGAAATGTTGATTCTACTTTTAACCTTATATAAGGGAAAATTTGTGAACTTTTGTTTTATTTTATGCAACTGTTATTAAACAGTTCCACTTGTTCTGCTTTTTCATTTAAAAGTTATACAGTCATTACATAACATATCATGAAAATATGCATGTTACTGACACAGGTTTTAACAAGCTAATGGAATGAGCTAGCATAAGAAGAACCCAGCAGATAAAGTGGAGTCAAAAATTCTAGGAGATTTTGATCTGATTGACGTGTCAATGCTCATTAAGGACAAAGTGTGACTTCAGAGCAATCGGTCAATTCTTGAATTAATGGAGTGCATTTACGAGAAGCTTTGTATTCTTGTAATTATGCTGACTGTGAACTCCCTTAGTATGTTATAGCCCATCGCACTTTATCCCCCTCCTTGTGTTGGCTTTAGGCACCATTCGAAGCTAGTTTTATAGTTTGCCATATTTGGTTGTGTTTGTAGAAACCGCATTGTGTTAGAAGCCCAGGCCACTGCTGAATCCACTCAAGTAAGTACACTTCAAAAAAATATTCAACTTGTACTTACTTCAAGTCAAAAATGTTGATGTTGGTGCCTCATTATAACACTTAACGAGGCGTATAGCCTTTTTATTTTTTCGTGAAGCCACTCAGTAAAATTACAATTTCTCTGCAACCTGATGTCCAATCAAGATCATTCAAGTATCTATGTGTTCCTGACACGTTTGGGCATCGGAATCGGGAAGACATCATGGTGCAGAGAAATCGTAATTTTACTGAGTGGCTTCACGAAAAAATAAGCAGCACTTTAGGCCACCTTAAGGTGGGACAGCTATTTTTGTTTTGATTGATCTACCATGTGCTACCTTAATTGGAGAATCTAGAATTTGCACTGAGATGAAATAATTTTTATTTCTTAGATCTAAGAGATAGGCACCATGGCTATATAGATGTTAGCTACATGTAAATGCTTATTTGAAGCCTCCATTTCAAATGTCTTCCCATTCAATGGCCTTGTGTATAATATTTTGTTTTTGATTCATGTTGCATGTATCTTTTAGTTGAAACACAATATATAACACACAAAAATGATGATATACTGGTAATTCAATCCATTTTTAAGATTGTATCAAATTCATCAGAAAATGGGGATATGAATGATTAATCTCGATTTATTTCAACAAAAAATCAAATTAAATGGGACATTTTCCACCTTAATGTTTAATGCTGTTGAGTCTCATCCTAAATGTTAATCTCTAAGTGTTTTCTCACTACTAGGTGAAAGGAGAAGCTGAGGCATTTGCCATTGAGGCCAAGGCTAAGGCTGAGGCAGAACAGATGGCCAAGAAAGCAGATGCTTGGAAGGAGTACCAAGATGCTGCTATGGTTGATATGATCCTGGAAACACTACCCAAGGTACAGAAAATATTACGCACATTTTCTATAACCTGTCGTAGATCTTTGAAAATTGTCAAATGTGGCTTTTTATGTCCCCACCACATAGTGTGGGGCCATATTGTCGGCCTAGGCGCGTCTGTCTGTCCGTCTGTTCGTCTGTCCGTACGTCCGGCAGTTTTCTCCAAAACCGCTACAGATATCACCTTCAAATTTTCAGGGATAACTTATGAGTGCATACAGATGTGGATGAAAAAAAATTAACTCGATACCTACTTCCTGTCGGCCATTTTGAAGTCAAATGCTAAAATCCTTGTCTGCAAACTTTAAGAAAAACTGCTTCACAGTTGCTTTTAAAACTTTAACATCTTGTTCAGCTCACTTCATTCTAGATCTGATTAGGTTTTGGACCTGCTAGCTCAGTCATGTCAGCCATTTTGAATTTCTTAAGAAAAGTTAGCGCGCGATAATACTTTGTATCATATTGAATGGTGTTTTTGAGTTTTCATACTTCAACTATTTAGTAGCTTTATAAATAATTTCAGATGTACTTTGCTGTAAAAGCCTACTTTGTTGTTAACAGTAGTTATATGTGATAATTTTGTAAAAAGAAATCAGCAAAAACTCATAAGGACTTTTTTATTGTCGGCCATTTTGGATTTTTCGGTCCTAAAATCTTGTCTGTGAAGTCTTGTCTGCGCGTTTTCAGGTGAACCGTTTGGTGGATCAATTTCAAATTTTCAGGGATGATTCTTAGTATAAAAATCCAGATCTCATTAGTTTTTTGGCATTCTGGGTAAATGTCAAGGTAGCCATTTTGGATTTTTCGTCCTAAAATCTTGTCTGTAAAGTCTTGTCTACTCGTTTTCAGGTGAACTGTTTCGTAGATCAATTTCAAATTTTCAGGAATGATTCTTAGTATGAAAATCTAGAACTGATTAGTTTTTTTGCATTCTGGGTAAATGTCAAGGCAGCCATTTTGGATTTTCCGTCTTAAAATCTTGCCTGTAAAGTCTTGTCCACGCGTTTTTAGGAGAACGGTTTGATAGATCAATTTCAAATTTTCAGGGATGATTCTTTGTATGAAAATCTACATCTGATTACTTTTTTTGCATTCTGCGTAAATGTTAAGGCAGCCATTTTGGATTTTCTGTCCTAAAATCTTGTCTGTAAAGTCTTGTCTACCCGTTTTCAGGTGAACCGTTTGGTAGATCAATTTCATATTTTCAGGGATGATTCTTAGTATGAAAATCTACAAACAGATTAGTTTTTTGACATTCTTGGTAAATGTCAAGGCAGCCATTTTGGATTTTCCATCCTGAAATCTTGTCTGTAAAGTCTTGTTTACATGTTTTCTGGTTAACTGTGTGACGGATCAATTTCAAATTTTCAGGGGTGGTTCTTAGTATGAAAATCTAGAACTGACTAAATTTTTGGCATTCTGGGTAAATTTTAAGGTGACCAATTTGGATTTTCCGTCCTCAAATTGTGTTGGTAAAGTCTTGTCTACTCATTTTCAGGATAACCATTTCACGGGATCACCACTTGGTGGGGACATTTTGTACACATTTGTGTTCTTGTATTGTGTTGAGATTGAAATTGACTGAAGAACAGTTAAAACTAAGAAAGAAATCTAAAACTGCATCCTTTACAATCTGGAAAGCTAACGCAAATGTAAAGAAATTCAAAAGGAAATTACTTTACTCTTAACTACAAAAAGGTAATCTTTTGGAAATAGATCATCATGATTCTAGTTTTTAAAAAATATGTAATATCTGTTTAAGGTTGCTGCAGAGATTGCCGCCCCTCTGTCTCAGGCCAAGAAGATCACCATGGTATCATCAGGAAAGGGAGATGTAGGAGCGGCTAAACTCACTGGTGAAGTAATGGAAGTCATGGGTCGTTTGCCTGAAGTTGTCGAAGGAATGACTGGTGTCAACATTTCAAAGGTTTTTGAAAATTTTCATATTTTTTTTTATTATATTTTATTTTTTGTAGCGTTACATTTCAGTTATTTTGAATTTATATTTGATTTATATCACCATCAAGAAGCGCTGCTATATAAATATAATTTACTTTAGCCAATAAGTTCAAATAGATAAATATTTAAAATGTTCAATATTTTTTCAGTCAATGAAGATGGCCCAGAGGCGTGTATAGTTTTGTCTTCATGGGGACTACAAGAACCAGGACCATTTACACATGATATACAATACAGGGGCCGCTTTCTACAAAGAACAATCTTTCAATTACAAATATTGCAATGTATTATCATCCGAGCAGCTGAACAAATTCTAGGATTTTCATGAGACAATGCCAAAGCAAATGAAATGTATTACCTAAAATTTTAAAGTAATCAAAAAACAGTTGATTAAATGGGAATATGCAATATTGTAAGTTTGTTGAAAAATTTCATAGTGGAAACTCAGTAAATCCAGAGACCTTGATATTTCGACAGGATTCAGTTGATATGGTTCAGTGTTTGTAATATTTGACAATGGAGAATGTGCCTTTGACTACATTCTGACCTAACTGTATAATGTGGATTATGAATGTTGTATTGTTACGACAAACATGATTTTATACTATTTTACCTAACTTATATGTAAACCTGTGTTGTGAGATAAGATGCAGGGTGATACATAATCAAAGAAATATTTACTCTTCATAATATAAATATAGTGAGATACTTGTTGTATTCTTATAAATCCCTGTATATTCTGGAATTCAATGTTTCACATTTGTCTTTCATTTAACCCATTAAATCCAATATTAAAAAGACACTGTTTTTGTATACAGTAGTTCCTTTCATTGCATGTAAATATACTCATATTATGTGTTTGTTCAATATTAACCAGTAAAGATACATTGATGTCAAACCAGTCGAATATTTTCTATATAATCCTGTATGTATGATATCATTAGTATATGATATAGTAAACAGTAAGTGGCGTAAACATTTCCTTCGGGAATTGTAATTTTAGTCAACCCAGTCTAGATTGTGAGTCATTACTTTCTCAGGTTAGCAAGAAGAATTGATATTAAGCACTGGAAAAGAGGTTAATGTCGTATGGGATTAGAATGTGAGATTGAATATGGAATTTTGGCTAATATGGAGTTATTTGAAAAGTCATATTCATTGAATAATTATATTTTATGAAATAGTGCAGACATCATTTGTATTTAAAGTCTTAATAAACCAACTACACATATAAGTAAAATCACGATAATAAACCTAAATAATGTATGTGAATTGTAAATACACTATTGTATATAAACATCAAACTTTTAAGTGTACCTTGCAACTGTGAAGCTGTATTTTACCATATTTTCTATTCCTACAAGAGCAGTATTATTCCAATAGCGTGATTGGTTAATAACTACATGACATACCCAAAATAAAAATTTGTGGTCTGTCATGGCTTTTTTAACCAATATGCTTGTTTGGATCATGTGACTGCTTTCTTAGTCATCAAAGTCCCGGCGTCCGAGTGAAATTACTATATATGTACATGTACTGTCATTTGAACATTAAATGTGTTTCACATTTCTTACTTTTTTATTTCAATGTATTTGTACTTGGTGTTAAATAGAAAGCCAATAAATGGTTTCATTATTGGCATGGCAGATCTGTCTTCAATGGATTACTACACAATAGACGCAAATATCACTAAGGAACAATCACATTTAGATTTGATATTTTTGTGAATCACATGCATTATTCTCAACTTAATCTGAGTCCATGTCTGCTATGGCATTAGTTTAAGGGTCATCATTTATCCTTACCTCATATAGACATCTGTCAATATTCTAGAGAGTAATATATGTATGTAATCTTTCATGTAGGAGAATTTATTATATTTAGCGATTTACACACCTTTCTTCTTAGATCTTGGTGTAGTTCTGTAAATAAATTAAAACTAACTTTAAATGAACTGTTTATGTTACATTTTTGTAAAAATGGGTACACGGCCACAATTCCCAAAATAATTCACTGTACCCTTAGATGCTTTGTTAAGTCTATTAGTTTGTCTGGCTGGTAGGAAAGTCTATTGGATGGACATCACAAATACTTGATGGATTCACCTGAAATGCGTAATTGCTGTAGGGTCTGAGCTCTAGGCTTTGTTTGCTTTAGTACATGAAGTACAACCATCCTTAATTCAGGCAGCCATTTTGAGGGTTAATCAATAGATTTGATAATAGATTTTTAGGATCTTTTCTACATACTTAAGAACATATCTGCATCCAATATCCTAAAGCTCTTCAGATATTTGTTTAAGAGTTTTAAGGAAATGTAGAGCCTTTCGTAGATTGCTTCTAACTTTCTACTCTCCATCCTTTCCAGTAACTTTGATTAAGATTGCCATTGAAATGATGTAATAATTATCCTGGACCATATAATTATATGTAGGCCTGTACATCTGAGTCTAGACTACCCTAAACAAGGCATTGACATGACAAAATGTCACCGCCTAGTTCATCACAATGTTAAGTCTTAAGTCAGATTTGAATTTCTGAGAACTTGTAGATAATTTTGGAAAAAAATGGTCAATTTGAAGCAAGTTGAAAAAAGTGTTTTTTTACCCTAAAAAGGTAATTGGTGAAATATTAAATCATATTTTAGCTACCGAGAACTTGTAAATGATTTTGAAAAAAATTGGTCAAGTTGAAAAAGACCTTTATGACCTTGAGAAGGTCCTTGAATGTCAAATCTTTTTTGACTTTAAGAATCTCATCGAAGAAAAAAAAATTGGTCGATTTGAAGCAAGTTGATAAAATACCTTTTTCACCTTGAAGGTCATATCTTAAGTCAGATTTAAACTTTTGATAACTTGAAGAAAACAAAATTGGTCAATTTGACCCAAACTGAAAAAAGACCTTTTTGACCATTTTTTACCTTTTTTGATCTTGAAAAGATCATTGAATGTAAAATCTTAAATATAAAGTCAGATTTGAACTTCTGAAAACTTGTAGATGATTTGTTAAGTTATTGGAAATTTTAAGAAATTGTTACAAACGCCAACCGCTGCCCCAGAAAATGGAGACCATAGCAATACGACGCCACCATACCACAGCAATTAGAACAGACAAACGACTTTTGATGAATCACATAGTCATTTGGAAAATTCTGAGACTGTTTTCGTTTATATGATATTCTTTTAAATTCTAGAAAAGGTGACACAATTAGAAAATAGTCTCAGTCATTGGACAGATATACCTCATGCAGAGGTTTTGGAAATGTCAGAGTTAGTTCATCTTTAAAGAATATTCTATCAATGAATTCACAAAGTTTTAAGCAGCATTCAAAAATCTGTCATCAAAAATAAGGATTCTATCTGCCGTCGGCTTGAAATTGAACAATTCAAACAATTTTCCTAATGGTTCACATAATGTATTTATTTTTGATATCATACAATTTTTATCTCTACAAACAACAATACAAAGAACAATAAAGTAAGTAAGAAGCTAAACCTTATTAGATTTACAGATTTAGACCTTAATACAGTAGTTTCCTTCAAAATATTTCAAAAATAATTTGATGTAAAAATAAAGATGAATGTTCATAACACAGGTAGGGTTATATGGATAGCTGAGACAACACTACATGAACATTGTAGTTCAGAATCTCATGTCAAGTGTGACTTAATAAACAAATGTCACATTTTATGACAATATACATCAAATGAGACATTATTTTGTCATTGTCATGAGTTTTGTCAATTGTAACATTAATAGGGTCCATTCTATGTCAAAATGTAATGCATGTCGCTCAGCGTGACACAATGCAATACTGCTCAGTGTGACACAATGCAATACTGCTCAGTGTGTCACAATGCAATAATGCTCAGTGTGACATGATTCAATACTGCTCAATGTGACACAATGCAATACTGCTCAGTGTGTCACAATGCAATAATACTCAGTGTGACATGATTCAATACTGCTCAATGTGACACAATGCAATACTGCTCAGTGTGTCACAATGCAATGCATGTCGCACAGTGTGACACAAAGCAATACTGCTCAGTGTGACACAATGCAATACTGCTCAGTGTGACACAATGCAATACTGCTCAGTGTGACACAATGCAATACTGCTCAGTGTGTCACAATGCAATGCATGTCGCACAGTGTCACACAATGCAATACTGCTCAGTGTGTCACAATGCAATGCATGTCGCACAGTGTGTTACAATGCAATGCATGTCGCACAGTGTGGCACAATGCAATGCATGTCGCACAGTGTGGCACAATGCAATACTGCCCAGTGTGACACAATGCAATTCTGCTCAGTGTGACACAATGCAATACTGCCCAGTGTGACACAATGCAATTCTGCTCAGTGTGACACAATGCAATACTGATCAGTGTGACACAATGCAATACTGCTCAGTGTGACATGATGCAATACTTCTCAGTGTGACACAATGAAATACTGATCAGTGTGACATGTCTACAATATAGAGTTACTATTTTAACTGCTTACATGTACATGATAAATATAAACACGTAAATGCTAGGAATGTACAAATACTTTATATATAGGCACCATGTATTTTGTATACATCCCCCTGTTATTCATTAATTCGATAAATTGAATAATTTGCATTTTGATATACAGCAACTTGTATGGTTAAAGCCCTACAGCTTTGCTAAATCTCTCATAAGGGTATTTCTTTAGTAGTATGAGCCTTCAATGTATATATGTTTTTACATCTAAAACTATTTAAACTGTCATAAATGTGATATTATTTATCAATCAAATTATTCAATTTTAAAGAATACTTTTTAGGGGGACCTCATAAATACTGCTCTACTTTCTAAATATAAACTACTAAAACATAGTGTTGTCATGGATAGGCATCAATCGTAATAAAACATTTATTTCACATTTTCTCATTTTGTGATGGAGAAATAATGACCATTTAATATTCCACTAATCTCTGGAAAGTTGGAAACCCATCATATGGCATTAAAACATTTCAAATGCACCATGTTCAAACTGTTTATACTTAATACTTATAGAGCAAATATATGCGTACTTGAGATTCTAATCATGCATCTCAAAAACCCTGTTTGAGACTTGTATAAAATAATATACACTTTGGCCAAACGTTGAATTACTTGACACTGGAAATGTACTATACAACATTTTCTGGATAAATATACTATAATAACAAAATACAGGTTAACCCCTTGTATACCATTACCAAACCATGTGGCATATATTTATGATTGGTCTGGAAGGGGTTACTTATGGAATGGTGGATTACTTATAGTAATATACGTTCTTCCAGTAATTTAAAACAGAATATTTACATCATTTACTCTACAATCATGCCACATATTGTACTTATTGTACCAAACTAGGCTAATAATTACGGAATGAATAAATTAAATAATAAATATATAAATACATATTACACAACTCCCTTATTCTGAGCAAAATGTTTCAACTTAAACAACTCGATTAGACAACCTTATCTGTACAGTAATAAAGATCGTCGTCATTTCAGTCTGCACCAATTTTGTATGGAATATTGTTAATCTGGCAGTAAAGGTCATCCTCAATAACTCAATTTTGATACTTCCCGGGAAAAACTCATTTTACCCTGAACGAAATGAATTTTCTCCAGAGAATTCACTTTGGTTTGTTTGGAAGAATTTAGGCAAGAATTGCATGTAACACATCTCAGTCGACTAGCTCGTCAGTTGCACCTTTTTGGTTAAACCATTGCACCAATATATGTATGCACCTAGGACCTACAAATTGAGGACCTACTAATCGTTCATAGTCTACAAATAAAAAGTGGACTATAAACACAAGAACTACGTTGGTCTCGAAATACTGTTTTAATTTTGTTACATATTGTAATTCTGAGCATAAGCTCTGGATCCATTACATTATCTGTGGCATTTTCGAATATTGATTTCGGTCTGCATTTTATTTTTGAAATAATGTCTTTAGTAGCCCAGGCATCATGCTTTTGGGAAATCTGCGCGGTGTCTTCAGTTCTCCCATTTGCGGTAGTAATGTACAATCTCCTAGCTATAGCTTGTAGAGAAGGTCCCCAAATTCACAATGGTTGTTACTATTATGCCCTTGATTGAACATAGCTATCACTTTACCAGGGTCTCGAACAGAACTATAACGTCATTTTCGTTATGTCCACATCAACGGGAAAGGCTACCCATTTGGTACACGGGTGTAACCCCTTCCCGTGTGTACCCCGGTAAAATCTGGTTATTTCAAAGCATTGCTAGATTTGTGTATGTTATATCAGAGTTCCAGGATTGTGATGACGACGTCACAATGGTGTCATTAATCCCCAACAAACCCTGATAATCCGACCCTCCCAGAGCAGACTCTGCTGTAAACGGTACGGTTGCCTGTAGCTCGCCTTGATTGTCTGTGTAGCTGTTGAAGCCGTATCCGTTTTCTTGACCGTAATTCTCCATTGGTGGGGTATCATAGTTGTAAAGGACAACATCTTTGTTGATCACGCTCTCACCTCGTGACTTCTTGGCAGGAGAGAAGCCTCCATCTTGGTTTGATCCATTCTGTGCTGTTGGCTTAGCACGACCTCCATTGGCGTTTGCTGGAGCTGGAGCCGCTGCAAGAAAATATGAGTGAAAATATCGTTTTTATCAAAGGTCTGGTCATATAACTCTAGAGTTTCCTTACTAGACAAAAGCTGATCCTGTAGACCCATTTGACCGTCATTTAAATAAGGGCTTGGAATTATTTATGTTTTTCTAATATGACTCTTTGGAACGAAGTGATGAAATCACTTAGCTGTCAGGCAATGGAGCGTAAATAATAGGATATAATCAACTTTGTGTCGGAGATCATCAATAATCCATTCTGGTGTATTATATTTTACCACCCTTTATCTGAGCCTATCCATAGATTAATAAAGGGAACTGTGCATATATGTGACGGGAATGACATCAAACGCTATGACAGTCATCTTGTAACTATGTCATTCTTTATTTGGAGTATGGGCGAAACATGATAACTTGAGACACTATGGTATTTCATTATCCAGATTCGTGTATCTTATATGTAAATAGACCCTATATGAACGTACGTCTTTTCTTGGCAGGTGTCAGTGGAGGCGCAGGGGAATCACTACTGTGTGGAGGACTTTCACCAGCCTCATCATCGTCAGCGTCACCATCAGCACCTGGCTCGCCTGTCCATTTACCCTCACGCTTTAGCCTAAACAAAATGGGTGAATAAAGATGTAAGTTCTCTGTTGTTCTATCTATCATTTATTTTTGCCAAAAATTATTTTATTTTAGCAATACAATCAAATGTTTATTTGAAATAATTTTCCGGAGAACCATTGTTATTAGCAAATAAAAATACATAATATGAGAATACTGTATGCATTTCGAAACAAACATTTTTCGTTTGATGATTATTGGGTCAATCATTGCTTTGGCTGTTTACCTCTTTTCTTTAGCACGTCTGTTTTGGAACCATACTTGGATGACTCTCATATCGAGCCCGGTTCGACTGGCCAGATCCTCCCGCAGTTGACGGGTGGGTTTGGGAGTGTGTTTGTATGTCTTTTTGAGAACGTCAAACTGTTGAGGTGTTAAATTGGTCCTGGGTCTTTTGTCTCCTTTATCCCCCTCATCGTCAGAGTTAGGATGGCCGCCTGTAAGATGATCAAAACATGTTAATAAGTCAACGTACGGCTCCTAAATATTTTTGCGAGGGAAAACTGAGCGTGGTCATGGACAAACTGATAAACATATTAAGAAAGTAGTAAGACATTTAGGATGGGTTTTAATACACCCACAATGCAAACATCCCCAGTCCCTCTGGCGTTTATACCAAGTTACTTTCTCCCCTGAATATATGTTGGGTACTGAATTAAAATGCCATTTAGATCATTCTATCTTAGACCATTATAATGATATTGTTCCAAATGGGGGAATTTTAACCTCATGTAGGCTACCTGAAGATGGGGCGTTGCTAACATTGTCGCTGGCCGTTTGGTTCTGGGTTAAGTTCTGCCTTGTAGCGTTATAGTCATATTTACACAGGAGGCGATTGTCGTCTGCTATGTAAAACTGACCTTCAGGGTCAAGGTCAGTTTTGCATATTTTGCACACGAAACAACGTGGGTGGTAGGCGGTGGTGTCGGTTCTTATTATCTCTCCCGATGGGGGTATCATCACCCCACACGAGTCGCATTTTGTACCAAATCGTCTACAAGATAAAGTAAAATTATGAAAATGAAATTTTAGAAATTATTAGAAAGTGTTAACAACACCATTAATAATATTTCTCTTCAATTACAAATGCCACCCATGGACTTGCTTCGGATTAAGATTACAAAGATAAATTAAAAACGCATTGTAACAGACTGTCAACATAAATCATGGACTTCGTGTCAATATTCATAAATGATCTAGTTACCTGAGGAAATCATCTTTACAAAATACGTTGTTTCCTTTTGAGAAGCATTTGCCTGCCAATTGGATGCCACAGTCTGAGCACTTGAGGCAACGTGAGTGCCACGGTCGATCCAACACTTTGTGAACGAACCGATCGAGAATGGGGTCTCCGCATCCCGTACATCGGAAAATGGAATCTGAAAATATTGTGCAATCAAATTAAATAAAATGGCCTTTATGATTGCAATGCTCCTTTTACTTTATATGTTGCATTTACATTTTAGCCGACTCTATACTTCGTATTATGATCTAAAGGATGAGGTTCAATGATACTGACTCTTTGTCTCAATTCAAATAATAGATGTCACCTCGCTCAATACATGACTCCCTAACAATAATTAGATGCTTTTATTTACAACACTAGGTAAAAGGTGGCTCGCCAATCGATACACTTACAGTTGGGTAAGTAGTATGGCGACGTTAAGCACAACCCTATACTTCCATTGACAACTTAAAATACTTTCTATTGACATTTTTCGAGTGGAACAAGCAACTTCAGTAAAATAGGAAATATTTACAATACGTACACTTGAATACTTGCGTCATTGTCTTGTTTATGAATAAGACATTTGCGTAAACTAGCTGAATAAATATAGCATGTGTACTGACACTTTTCTTTCTTTGCATTTACGGCAGCATAGATAGATATGCATCGATATGAATGAGTGAATAAATTGTATGAACTGACTTGATGAAACAGATAAATCCAATAAAAATACACAAACGTGCTTGTTCGAATCGATCGCGATCGATAATGATAAGCGTTTTTGAATTCAAAACAAACTTCGCTCGTGAATTCATGCGGATGTATTCTATATTAATATGGTGGTTATAATAGCCTATATAATTATTTTCGTTTATATGATCGAAATTATATTCAAAATTCTTATCGTGATATACATGTAGATAAAAGCTACATTTGACAAATGTCATTTACTGTTTAAATATTTTAAATTATAATTCGGCTGTGGCATGGGGATTCTGAGTTCTGACCTTGTGATATATACAATTAAAATATCATTATTATTGTTTATAATGCTATAGCAATTATTGATATTGTATAAAAGGTCAAAAGAATCACTGACAAATTCAAAAAAATGAAAAATGCCTGATTTCAAATTTACATATGATAGAAGTACCATGACATGAATTGTCATTTAATTACTCTACAGCTATGTATCAATAGTGTACTTTACTGTACGTAGTTGTCATTATAATAGCTCATAACACATTCATTATCTGTAAATTGTACTGCCGATCTAATGTCACTATCACCGTGGGAAACCAATCGCGATCTAATATGATTTAAAAGTGGGTGATATCATTAATAATATCAAGATGAAACGAATAACTTCTTGATTAGCAAAAAGTACACATTGAACGAATGAACATAGCCATGTTTTATTGGTTTCATCATTTTTTCAATTGTTTACTAAAATTGATCAATCACTATATTTGATACTGCTGAATGATAAACCTCATGATTTCTTTCTTTTTAGTTTATGTCGAAGAGTTCTGTCGGTCAATTTTGAATTTAATCACACATGCTAGCACCGGTCCTGTTACTTTTTGGACTCATGTGAGTCAGAGATGTCTGATGTTAAAAAACTAAAATTAAAATTGAAAACTACTCAGTGAGTTAAATTTTGTAAAACACTTTCGAAGTTCAAAGGAAACCTGGCCTTTATTGTTACACGATGGGTCTCTCCCCGGTGTACACGAGTGTACGCTAAGCAGTAATCTTACACTTCGGCCCTTATAGTCGTTTCACCAATTCCTAGATTTTTTTGTTTTTTGTTTTTTTGTTTTTAGGATATCAATAATGTTGTCACTAGCATGACGAGGTAATAAAGAACATAGTTCCTTCCCATAGCTGATCACATGACTGATCACATGCAAACGGCTCAATGATTGTCAAATCAAACACGAAGCATCATGGGATATAAAACAAGCTTTGCGAAAATATCTTACTCTGAGAAAGAATAATTTCCAGATTATGCATCTTTAAGACTAAGTAAGTTTGAGTAAGAAATGAAATCTCCTCTATACAAACAGAGGAAGGACATTAATTAGTGGCGAAACCAAGATTGGCGACATAAACAACTCGAGTGACGCAAATGAAAAGAGGGACGGTCCATGGATCCCATTTTGTTTCAAAAATGTCATATCGACAATGGAAATACCCTGCCCAGTCCATTTCTTCGATTGCTTGATTGTGACTTTTATGAGGGGTCTTGTATTGACTATTTTTGAATAAAATACAAAGATTAGAAAATAAGAAATGCAATAGCCGTGCCCCCTTGTCTTTATCCTTCCTTCTCTCGCAAATGGCAGATAAGAGGGGCTCTGGCATACCAGAATGAGAAATCTTGAAATTTGAATAGTTGAAGCCAAAAGAGCCAACCAGTAAACACGATTCTCAATAAGATATTACAATCAAGATAAGTCTTGAAAACAAATAAATAAGCATAACGAATATTTCCAGTGTTTTCACATTCATCAGTATAAAGAGACATGTTTATAATGATAGGCTAACATCAATATTTCGTAAATCTAAACCGACTTTATTACTTGTGCTGAATCAAATGAAAATCAATGACATTTTCTGAATGTTTGAATCCATGGCTCAGTATACTGTTTGCGGGCTTTGAAATACAAATTATTTTTAGCAAACAAACAAACAAACAAACAAACAAACAAACAAACAAACGGACAAGATCTAAAAAGATGCCAGTGATACTGATATCTATTATATGATTTGGTGCTGACGCAACTAGTTCTGACAATAAATGTGATTTCAACGAGTTCATAGCTCAGAGCTCCACGACAGGAAATTTGAAAAACGAACCGTATTGTTCAAAACAAAGCCTGCTAGTGTCAGGTTCACACACAAACGGCTTGATGTTCGTTTCAAATAAAAGAGCTGTCACCCAATATTAAACCCTTCGCACAATTGAGACATTTAAGCCTAGTAATACTTTTTCAGATTCCGAGGAAAATAATAAATTGACTTTGATAGGAGAGAAAACTTTCTGAAGTTGTTAAAAATACATCAGTAGTCGAAATCGACATTGGAAGCGCTGAAAATATGACTATGGTCGCTATCGGCAGTCGGCACCAATGTTTTTCGTTCGGTGCAATCGTGCCCTCTTACTTGTAAGGGACGTACTGACGAACTGCCATATCGAGACACTGCATGGGAGTTCGCCATATAGGATCGACACCCATCCTGTTTCTTTATTCACGACTGAGATAGTAATGGCTATAGCAGTATTTTAAAGAATTTGAGCACGTTGGGATCACAAATCAATAAAATTCAATTTCGTGCCATCAGATAAGTGGAATCTCATCTCGAGACTTGGAAATCTGACTGACCTCTTATAGTGACGCACGCTGACTCAGGATTTCTTTTTTTAATTGACTCAGTTGTGTCTTCAAACAACTACTTCTTTTGTACATTTCGGTCATTTACAATTAACTTCAATTTAAAAAGAAACATTCATCTGAAATTTTCAGTAATATGATTATAAATACTAGATTTGATATAAATCAAATGACAATTTAGTCTCTTCTACAACGGACTAACTTATTTTACAAAGGTCAACATTATTTTTCTGATAGCAGATGCCAGATGGGTGATTTGAAGTTGAATTGAATGTTTTACATTGTCATTTTATTTTGCATGGTTTAACATTTTAACTCTGACATTTTTATACAAATAGAACACCATTTTGTTTGCGCAGCTGTTTATCTATAGGCCACTGCAGTTCGTTTGCACGATACAGGATTTGCATATTTAGTTTTGTTTCTGTTTATATGCAGGTTTTGTGCCATTGTAAAACATCACCTTGAGAGCATTGATAACTAAACTCATGGAATTACTAATGGTGGTCTTGTTCCTGAGTTTATCATTTTATTTATACCATGTTCACATGCTTGTAAACGATTATTCGTTGACATGGACCAACCCTAAACACAATGCCTGAACACACTTGTAAATTAATATGTCTTTTTTCAATTCCACAAGCATACCCCTATAACTGACACAGTGTATACACAATCCCTGGGATACCTCGGTATCAGACTATTAGCCCGCTGTAGCCGCAATGAAGATGTCCCAATACCATCATGTATACGAGTCATTTAGTCTTATGTCATTGCCAAAATGAAGTAATTCTCACAAAAATAAACCAATGAGAGAGGTTCATCGCAGTGTCAGAAATCATGCGATACCCTGGACCATCCTATTAAAGATTATATAATCATAGAACCAAGACAACCAATTATTTTCTGTAATTGGAAACCGGGCTTACTGGATTCTTCATACAATGGAGATGTAATATGTTCTTAGTATATATATATACACAAATAGGGTATCATTTGATTTGTTGGATCACACCAAACATCTCAGTATACGATACAACATTTGGAAAAGAGGCTCTCAACTAAAAACAGTCATCCTAATGAACTGAAATGCACCAAAACTTCTCCAATCGATTAACTCTTGCTATCACTTCAATCCACTCTATTATACTTTGTTCTTCCTCGACCTAGCATGATATTTCCAAATCTATCTTCGAGCATTGGACTTTGTGTGCTTACAATTCTTTTGTGTCTGCCAGGAAATGAAAATGGATGTGAGTCTCTCTTTGATATGATTCTCTGTTTGTTTCTGACTAAAAGTGAAATTATTCTAAACTGTCAATACACGTCCCTCACAATCAAATCACCAAAGATATAATAGTAATTATTCAATTCAATTAAATCAATGGTATTAATATGCCTTCGTTAAAAATCGACGTACGACAACGATGTGGATAATTTGCAAGGGGTTCACACGTAAGGAAATGACTCAGTGTTACAGCATCCCCCGTCTAAAGAGAAGTTCGTCCTCTAATGAGAATGATTGAGAAGTAGAATCTGAGTGATGTGCATCGAACAATAGAGAATAATAGACTTGTACATTGCTCGTCAAATGTCAAATAGGATACCAGTAGAAATGTATCATACTCTTATAATTTGATGGCGAATAGCATTTATAAATATTCTAAAACTATAAATAGGTATATTTGGAAATGAATACAGTAAAATTGCGAGCGCGATACTTTTCTGGTATTACGTTCGCTGTACACCAAGC